AAGCGTTGAGAACGGTTCTATTATTAGAGATTAGGAAAAACATAAATAGTACTCTTGCACACAGAGTTTCAAAGTCCGGGAGCAGCGAGATAATGTCACTCTTAGCGGGACCAATATAGGACATTTAAACAAATAAAAGGGGTTTAGGGGAAACAAAAAGGGGCGCAACCACAAAAATGGGGAACAATCAAGTATGGGATAAACAGTATGGTGTTAACTAATATAAAGTGTCAAGTAATTGAGATTAACGATAATGCCAAAGGTATGAACGGCAAGGTAATGCGTCTAGTGTTAAAGAAGGAGGCAGATGGTTATGTTACTGTTAAATGGAGGGGAGCGGGACAAAAACGAATACCTACGGAAGGAGGTACACTAGTGTTACAGTCAATGAGCAAAGATCCCGGGTTCAAGCCTCAGGCGGTGCACCACCTGGATTGGGCGTGAATAGTTGATGACGGCTACTGAGCTAGGAATAGCCATTCCAGCCTTTATTGTCCTCGTCGGTACCATCTTATTGATCTTAAGTCACCTGCAATACATGCGTTTCCTTTTCCTTGTCCTATTGAGGGGAGGTCCCATAAACCGTTCCTACCATTGCTAGAGGATAAGCCGATGCGATGTATTAAAAAGACAATTTTTGCGCCCGTTTTAACCAGACGTAGTGTCAACGAAAGTCCAGATTGTTAATTTTCCAAAAGACGTTAGTTTCAAAAAATCCTACGCCACCTTGTGCCTTCAAATGACTTGTTCTGGTTGACAACAACGGCCACACAGGATTTTGTCATGCTTTCGTGTGGCTGCACTGAGTTTTTCCACGCGTGTTAAAAACTTTGGGCGAAGTTGATTTTTTGCCACTGTGTGTCTAGTCCGGTCGGCTAGTGGACGGACGCAGTTTACCATAAAAGGTGGTGTTGAGGTATCCTTCTTGGCGACCAATCTTCCCAACCGTCGTCATCATCAATCTGACACGTTTGAGGCTCTAACGACTCGCTAGTTGACGAAATAGCCTCATCTTCCTTCAAAGCGAAGATCAAATTGCAGCGGCAAACTGCAACTGATACCATCCGAATGAGTTCCAGTTTTCTGTAGAGTAGGATGTAAGGTTGTATAACAGTAGTAGAAGTAGAAGATGCGATCGATGGAACAATAAATTTATCTGCCTGACTTTTCGGCCTCTGCCTTCAAGCCATCATAAGAGATTACCACAGAAGAGGTTGGTAAAGACGGACGTTTCGCAGTATTTATAGTCTGTATCGGCCACGCGACTACATGCGCACTACAATTAGCAGTTCTCGTGATCATCGCTAGCGATCGTGATTGATGCGATGGTGGCTTGGCAGTCCGTATCCGAGTCGTTAATCGCCGTGATCTCATCTTTCCTCCTCACCGCTGCTGCGT